TACCTCCGAAAGATGAAAAGAATAGAAATAGAAATAAGAAAGAATAATTGGAAAAGAATAAGATGGAAATATAAAATGATGAAATACGGAAAAAGGCAATATCTAAATAAATCTAAAGAAGATGAATATCCAGATAATATCTCCACTATTAATTTCTGGAAATGAATCTATGAAACTAACACTATTATAGATTTGTCTAAATATTAATTTATATGAAATATTAATAGAAAACAGAATTAATGATAGAATATCAATAATCACTCCAAATGAACTAGATTGTTACATTAAATTTATTGATAATTTGAAAGTAAAATGATGTTGATAAAATACAAGGATTTTTGATTAAATATTTAGAACAACCAATGAAATATTTATTAAAATTATTTAATGAATGGTTAAACAATCCTAATGAAATACCTCTCCATTTTATTCAAGGAAGAACAATACTAATATATAAAAATGAGATAAATTAGACCCACAGAATTACAGACAAATAACTTGTTTAACTTGTCTGTTAAAAGTATATACATCAATATTAAAGATGAAAATAGAAAGCCAATTGATGTTAAATCCAATTGAAAAACAATTATCATTAAATCAAATTGGATGTAAAAAATATACATACGCATCAAAAGAAGGATTATTATACAACACTATAATCCAGCAATTATTATTAAAGGCTAAATGGAAGTGGGTAGAAACATATTATGACGTCTCCAAAGCATATGATAGTATTAACCACCAATGGATTAAACAATGCTTAATATATTTTAATATCCCACTTGTAGTAATTAATAGTATATTATATATATTAAATAATACATGTCTTAATTTATATTATAATCAAGAAAGTGTGGGTATAATTAATTTAGAAAGAGGAATAATACAAGGTGATAATTTATCTCCACTTTTATTTGTATTATCTATTGACATATTATCTAAACAATTAGATAAACAAATTAACAAATTAAATATCAAAATGAATGGAGAAGAAAAACAAGTCAAGTTAAACCACATATTGTATATGGACGATTTAAAGATAATGACTAATAGCCTCGATGAAATGGAAAAAGCCCACAAATTAACTAAATAAATATTTAATGCAATAGGATATTAAAAATTAATGTAGAAAAGAGTGGGATAATGACTAATATTAATAGTCAAATAAATGGTGAATTAGCTGAACTACCATGAGTAATTAATGACAATCATTATAAATATCTTGGTATTGAAATATGAGATAAAATAAATATTAATAAATATTGTACAAGAATATTAAATGATGTATCTTCTATTTTATCATCATTAAACACTATGAAATATAGCATTCTCAATACAATAAGAAAGATTAATAGTGATATAATCTCCAAATTAAGATATGGATTTTGTATTGTCCCATGGAAACTAGGAGAATTGGAGAAGATAAATAAACAAATCAGAAATTCATTGATACAACTCCAATTATATAGTAGAAACATCCCAAAGGTAGATTATATGTTAAAATAAATGAATTGGGAATAGGATTAATGTCAGCAAGAGATGAATGTGGTAAAGAATTAATAAGAATATATTTAAAACAAAAATATTAAACACAGGAATAGGAGAAATGATAGAATCAATAAAAGAAAATCCAAATTGAATAATTAAAAGAATGAAGAAAGCATTTGGTAAGAATATTAATTTTAATGAATTAATGAATGTAATAGAATTAAATAAAAGAAAACATGATGTAAAGGAAGTAATTGAATGGGTAAATAATGAATTAAATGATAGATATTTAAAAGAAAGAAAAGAAATGTGGTGAATATATAAGATGTGCAAATGGCACTTTCAATCATAAGAAATTAACAATAATAACATGGAAGTCATTAAACATAAAAAGAAATGCATTCCTCCAAATAGTAAAGATGCAAGAAGGAGTAATTATGACAGGAAGTATTAAATCAAAATTACTCCAAAATGATGTTTTAAAATATTGTAAACATTGCCCTAACACAATTGCATCTATTAATCATATATTGTTAGTATGTAATGAAGAAGAATCAAATATTAAAACATGATTATGTTTGTAAACAAATATATAAACACATATTAATTACATATTTTAATGAATTTGATGCAATTGATTTTAATAATCCTCCTAAATGTATTAATAATGATGAAATGGTTATAACTTACAATAAAGATTTATTGATTAGTGACAATTCATTCCATGGTAGAAGACCAGATATATATTATCAAAATATTACAGAAAAGAAATGATATATTATAGATGTTGCTATATGTCAAGATAATAATTTAGAATTAAATTATATTCATAAAATAAATAAATACAAAGATTTACAAGAGAAATTAAGAAACAATAGAGAATTAATATATGTAGAAATAATACTTGTAATATTATCAATAAATGGATTAATACACAAAGAGTCTATAAGAAGATTAAAATCACTAAAATTACAATTAGAATTCCCCAAAATCCTACGAACAATAATTATCAAAAATATGAAAGACTTAATGTTTTAAACAAACAATTCTGGCAACACACTAGAAGAAGAACAATCTAATGCAAGCATGTTAGAAATGAACTCTATTACACCAATAGAGCATATTGAAGAAAGTGAAGCAATCACTTCTCAATATTCATAATATTCAATAGTGGATATATTTATGAATTGCCTTTTTTTTATTTTATATGTATATTCGATGTTGTGTGTTAAAAATAGTTGTTAAAGAAATAAAACGAATCAAAGTCAATTTTTGTAAAATATTAATTTTTGATTCACTTGAGTTTATTTCTTTAGAATGTGTTTTATAATTATTTCTTTAATTATTCCTCTTGTTCTTTCTATTTATAAGTTCTAATAAAATCAAATATTTAAATGTTGATTTATTTGAATATCATTTGTTTTTATTATTCAATTATCTATCTACCTTAACATTATATTTTTAATTATTCATTTCATTCTTTATTGTTGTTATTATCTTATTTATTATTTATTAATTTATTCTTCACTTATAAATTATTATTTGATACTGTAGATTTATCACATTCATTTATTAATGAATTATTTCTATTTCTTCTTACTCTCTGATTTCTATTTTTCTCTTTTACGATTATTACTACTCTTTATATTGTAATTGTATTATATTCTGCGTTTTTAGTCAACATTATTTGAATTCTTATTTCCTTCTTCATTAATATTTCATTCATTCTCTTTTTATATAAACACAAACACACTCTTTGAACATCTCATTTCAATAATTATATCACTTATTCATTCATGAATAAATCAACAGATAACAATTTATTAAGTAGTGTTATAATAATAAAGTAATTTTACTTATCTCTATTTATTAAATATTTATAAAATGATAAATAAATGTCTGATATAATAAACCAATAATTGTACACAGATAATGATTGTTTAAATAAACTCTTTTAAATATTTCTTATCTTTCAAATTTAATTTTAAAATAGAAGTTATATTATAATTAATAGAATTTATGATAATTTCTAGTTCAAAGTCTAAACAGATTTATTTGTTTTAAAAAAACTTTTTTTTATTTTATTATTCATAAAAACTTTAAAATTATTAAATGGAAAATAAAATAATTCAAACATCCACACTTTCAATAGAAAAAATAAGAACAGCTATTACTAAAGAATTTAAAACGTGTCAAGATGTTGTAGAATTTTTCATTAACCAAGAGGAAGAAAGGACAAACAAAAAGATAAACAAAGGTGTTGGTGATGGCTATGAAATTGCTCTAAAATCTTTCTATAACAAAGTACATTCACTAGGTGTTACAAAAAAGTCTTTTGAAGAATATTTTCAATGGTTTATTGGTGGATTAAAAAATGCAATGAACAAATTAATCAATAACAACGATGGGAACTTAGAAAAGAATCAATCAACTATTTATATTCCAATTTCAAAGTCTGGAACACCTTCAACAATTCAAATAAAAAGATGGGAAATATTTGGAATATTAGCTTGTTCGTTCTTTAATGTTCAATGGGATAAGAAAGTAGAACGTATTGGAAATCTTTCTTTTGTGTACATTTCTACGAATAGTCGTATTTCAATTCAAAGACTTATTTGTATCTTTGCTTATTTCCATGTGATGATTGAAATGGATGAAAAAACACTTCAAGAAATTGTTACATATGAACGAGTTATTCAAAAAAAACCATATGATTGGGAACACAATGAAACCCCAATTAAAACATATCCTTTTGTTAGTGGGGGTTTAGAAATGTCTGAAATGAATGTCCATGTTGACTTTGCTAATAAATATCTACAAATACATAAAATTGTACCAAGTATAACTCAAGAAGAATTACTTTTTAGTGTTAGACCTGAATGTTTAATTTCATTAATATTATTTGAAGTATTATTAGATAATGAAGCAGTACTTATAAAAAACACACTTCATATTAGTTTGAGTGAAGGATATCAACAAACATTTAAATGGATAGGTTTTTGTAAAAATCAAATATTAAAACAACCAAATATAATTCTAGCCATTGACTCAGTAATTAATAGTTGTTTTGGAAAAGAAAATATTGACAGGGATTTAAATAAATGTATGATTGGGTTTCAATGTGCTGGTAATAAAATTGCCACAGGTCAATGGGGATGTGGTTCATTTGGTAATGACCAATTATTAAAAATGGCACAACAGTATATGGTTCTTTCAACTTTAGGTTTGGAAGCTTCAATACATTGGATGAATTTTAGTCGATATAATGAATTAAATGATTATATGGAGATTTGTAAAAGCAAAAAAATGACAGTCAAAGATATTTACTATATTCTTTGTTCATTTGATGGTGATAAGAATACATTTGTTGATTATTTTAAACAACAAGTTCAATCTTTTCATAAATAATTCATAATTGAATTAGATTTTTATTATGCTGTCAAAAAGAATTTCAACAAAAACTTTCAAACAAAACTTCAACAAAAAATGTTATCTTAAAATTAAAGAAATTTATACAAAAAAAATCAGTTATAAATTTGATTTAAAACTAAGCATGTGGAAACATTGGTTGACATTGTTGATGAGGTGGTTGTGCATTAGCTTGTCCTGGATCTAATGGCGGTTGTTGGACTTGTCTTATTCTTTGCCTACACCTTTCACACCCATCAGCTATTTCAATTAATTGACAATTAATTCGTAGAACATCATCATATTGTTTTTTTAATTCATCTAATTGTTGTTGAAGGTTGACAAAAGCTTCTTTACTTTTCTGTCTACTTTTACGAGCACTTTCTTTATTTTTTAGTTTTCTTTTAATTTTATTTAATGTAGCCTTTTCAGTTTTAGTTATTGTCCTTCGATCTTTAAGTTCATTTACATAATCTTCAAATTCTTCAACTGTCATTGAAGCTAAATCCTCTTCTGAAAGTAGTTTTTCATATGTAATGTTTTGAAATTTTCTCTTTCTACGATGTAAAGGAGTATAAGCTTGATCAGTAAATTGAGGTTGAGATGTATTAGGAAATTGAGGTTGTTGTGGTGTTGGAGGAAATTGAACCACTTGAGGAATATAAGGTGAAAAAGACTGATACGTAGGGTATTGAGACGTTCCTGCTGAAAAAGAATTTTCTTGTCTTATAGGATTTGGAGAAGAATAACCAGAATAAACAGAGTCTTCAGGAGAACCAGATGTTGCCTCTTGTTGTTGATGACTTCGGTCCATTTTCCTGTGATTTTTAAGATTTAAAAAAATTTTAAGATTATTATTGTTATAATTAATAATTCTATTTAACCATCACATTTGTTTCTTCTCTATCAAGTATTACCTTTCATATTTTCATTTCTTCTTACACTACAAGTATCTATATTTTTATTGTATAGTCTATCATTATTAAGTTCATCTCATACTCATCAACAGCTGAACTACACGTTTGCATCACGCGTCTACTCACGTGTTAATAAAAATGACATATATAACAATATAGTACTTAATTAATTTGAATAATATCGTAAAGTTGTTGTAATTTAATAACTATTTCATTAATGCTCAAACGTTCTTTTGGATTTTGTACCCAAGATTGTTCAATTAATTCAAAACACTCTGGACTAACATTTTCTGGACAATCTAACCTATTTCCATCAGCAACAAAATTAGCTATTGACCATGGATATTTAAAGAGAGAACCTTGATAAGGAGCATTCCACATAAGTATATGAAGCATAGTAACAGCAAATGAATATACATCTGCAGGCATTTTGTATTTATCTTTTTTTAATATTTCTGGTGCCATATAAACAGGTGTTCCAATTCCTTTTGTGAATGTCATATTTGTCATTAACATGTTAATATTTCTAGAACTACCAAAGTCAGTCAACTTACCATTAATCTCAACATTTTTTTCTAATGAAATAGCTAAAATATTATCAGGTTTAATATCACGATGTAATATTCCATTTGAATGAAGATACTCAATTCCTTTAGCAGCATCTAAACAGAATTTAATTTTCAATTTTTCATCAAGTGGATTGTTTTTCATTCTTTTTTCAATTAAATCAGACAATGAACCATATTCTGCAAATTCAGTTACAAAACATAATTTATTTGGAATCATTACAGCACCATAAAAATGAACAATATATTCATTTCTAAACTTTTCTAACATTGATACTTCATCTTTAAATTCATTAATCATATTTTCTAATACCTGTAATTTTTTTAACTTTTTAATTGCTACTTTGTTCCCTTTAAAGTATCCAAGAAAAACAACTCCAAATGACCCTTCACCTATTATTCGTTCTTCAACAATATCACTAGGACTCAACCGACAACTGACTTCAGTCATACAATCAATTGAAATAGTTACTGTGTATCGTTTACCAGTTGATAAATTATCAATAAGTATTTTAAAAATACCAATAAGATGAACAGAACAATGAGGATTTATAAAAACTTCAAGTTCACATCCTTCCTTTTTTTTTCAAAATGATTTGAAGTGGATTTGTTCTTATTGAATAGTTTTCATTTAAATTATCTTCTTTAAGAAGTGATATTTGAGTTGTGTGTTTTGATCTATTGGCTATACAAAGCAATTCTCTAGTCTCTTTATTAACAGGAATTTCTGTTGTTTTTGTGTCAAATGTTAGTACCTTCTTATTCACTAAAATAGGACATTTCTCATTTAATTCAATCCAATGAATATTTGAGTATTTAATTTCAAAATGAGTACATGTTTTTCTTGTTTTATTTTGGAGATTCTTTTTATTAATATATAATAATATTTTATACAACCCAAAGACAACTAATATAAATACTGTTGTAATAATAAAAATTAATAATATCACAATAACTAATATAACCCACCAAACAGGATGTTTTTCACAAGATAATCCATCATTACTTGGGGTATACCAAAAAGTGCATGAAAAACAAACAGAATGAGCTGCTTCTATACATCCTTTTACTTGATTATAAGGTACACAATGACTTTCATTTGTTAAAATATAATTATGTTTACAACCTTTACATCGTTTGTTAATTTGATTACATTCAGTACAATGTTCATCCACTTCAGAACATAAATGACATGTAAAATTTTCTAAATAATAACCTGATTCACAAAGAGAACATCCTTTATTAGTAATTTCTTCACAATGAGTTAATTCAGATATTGGAGAACATCCATAAGTAATATTTTATAAAAATTTTTAATACATTCAGAACATTCATTTTTCTTAATACATGTTTTACAATTATCTATACATGCTCGACATAATATTCCATCTCTGTAATATCCATCTTCACATTTTAAACATTTATCGTTAGAATGTGGAATTGTTTGTTTACAATTTTCAATACTTTTAATAATACTAATACATGAATTTTCTTGAAGACTAAATCCTTCATTACATTCATAACATATATCAGCAGATTTAACACATTTTTTACAAGGATAATAACATGCATCACAACTCCCATTCTTATTTAAAAAATAACCATCAGAACAAATGGCACATCTTCCTTTATTAAATTCTTTACAATTTTCTATTGTTGGTGTTGATTGACATATTCCATCATCAAAAGTTGAGTCTAATTTTAAATATGTTGAATCATCACATAACGAACATTTTCCATTTACTGTACATAAACTACAATTACTTCCACATGAAACACAATTAGACCCATCAAAATATTTATCAAATTCTGTACAAACAATACACTTACTATTAACACTTGTTTTACAACCAACAGACTCTATTGGTTGACAACTCTTTCCATTTACAATTACTTTTCCTTCAGGACATTCTAAACATTGAATAGTTTCTGTTTTATCATTATATAAACATTTGGAACAATCATTTTCACAAGAAACACAAGACCCCTCCTTAAGATAAAATCCATCTTGACAATCAATAACTTGTTTATTTGTAATTTGGTTTGTTGATTGTTTTAATTCACATTGGTCATTATTTTTTATATAACTATTATTTATACTACAATGAATACATACATCTGAAGAAGAACATGTATCACATCCATTTGGACAATTAACAGAACATTTTTCCATTGAAGGTTCTTGAGTTTTACCAGGAGGACAAACTAAACATATTCCATTATTCATATATTTACAATTACTTGTTTCAATACATTTTGTTCCACTTACAATATAATTGTCAAAACATAAAAAACATTTTTCAGAATTGCAAATCTTACAATTTGATGTACATTCATTACAAGAATTTCCAGTAGAAAAAAAACCTTCTTCACAACGTTCACATAATCCATTCTTAATATATAACTCACAATGTTCTATTGTTATTATAGGGTCAGTACACTCTCCATCTTCTTTTGTTAAATATCTACATATTTTACATTCAGAATTTGTATTTGATAATAACCCAGTTTTACACAATCCATATGAACTTACAACTGCATTATTTGTTAAAATAGTTATACCTAATGAGTTGTCAACAAATAAAAGTAATGGAGAAAGAGAAGTTACAATAATTGAAGATGAATTTCCAATTGACTCTACAAGAACAGAATTAAGAGTACCATCAATAATAAAAGAGGTATAAGATTTTATTAATAAATCATGATATGAAACATAAAGAGTAGCTTGTCTTAAAAGGGTAATCAAATTATATCTTTCATCAGACTCAAATGAGTACGAATTTACTGAATCAATAATCAGATAAGTTGACACTATTGAGTTGGAATGACCTGGACATGAATAATCATGCAAACCATTTTCATCTAAATAAGAATTATCAGGTTGAGGATTACATACTTTATTTGTTAATCCAATTACAGAACAAATTAAGTCATTTCCTGTTCCAATTACAATAGCTTGTTTATCACAAATAAAATTTATATTATTAGAAGAGGGTAGATTAATTTTACGATACTTATTTAAAATAAAATTAATTGATATTGAATTTGGAATAGAAGGAATTCTCATAATATTTAATGGAGTTGTTGAATGATCTATTGTTATAAACATTAAGTTAGGATCTGTCAATGGATTGACAATAGACTCAATATCAATTGTAGAAACAAAGATTGAAATAATAATTGGATTCATTACATTTATACTTCCAAAAATTAAATCTCCTTTATTTATTTCAATTTGTTTAACATCCACATTTAACCTACTTGTTGTTTGAATCAATGTTGAAATAAAAATATTACTATCTGATTTTAATGTACTTGTTCCTAATATTTGAAGTTCTTTGATTGAAGCATAATTTATTGTTTTAAGTTGACTATTTTGATTTAAAATCGTTTTAGATTGAGAAATAACATTCGTAGAATCATCAAATAATAATGACCCATAAATATTTATTGTTTCAATTAAAATATTGGTATTTATTGGTGATGATATTGTGACTGTACTCTGTTTCTCAACAATAAGGTTAGTGACTATTAACTTTCCATCCTCAGAAATACTAATTATAGAATTTCCTGAAATAGTTAATATATTGCATTGAAGTATTCCATTTATTGTTATAGATTGTTCAATAGAACATGACTCACTTGTGATTGAACCTTTAATAAGACTATTTTGATATTTTATCACAGTTGAATTCCAATAAACATTTTCTTTATCATAAATACTATTATTTAATATTAAATTAAGTGCATTTGAGTAAATTTTACTGACTATTTCACAATCACTCAGGTCATATTGGTCATTAGAATAAATACACTGACAATCTATTGTTGATGTATCTTTAACATACCTTGTAAAATTTCCATTGTTACACCCAACTCGAATTGTGTTTGGTATTCCACTTGACTTAAAATACCCAATAAATAAAACTGAATCAGTACTAATTTGACTAACATCAATATCAATTGCATCCCATTCTCCAAATACATGAGTCATATTAAAATTTACAGTTGGAATAATTAATTTATTGAAATAAACATCATTACTAATAATAATTCTTTTGTTTGGTAATGTAGTTGTTCCAGTTAAATTAATAAGTTGATTATTTTCTATTGTTAAAGGAAGTGTTCTAGATTCAAATATAAATGAATTCCATTGATACCCTTTAGTAGAGTCAAGTTTAATAATTGTTTGGTTTGCAAAAATAGTTAAGTCATATAAACTACTATTATATATACAATCAGGAAAAACCATTCCAAAGTTAATAACTGATGCTGTTGATGTTGTACTTGGAATATAACATCTACAATCATTTTTTATTGAAAGAGTTTCATTTTTACACATTACATATCTTTTTAAATTAGGCTTTGAACAAACTTCATAAAAAGTACAACCACTTTGTGCATCATAAACATTTACATTACCATTTGTGTTGAAAGCATAACTACACCCACTTTGAATATTTCTCTTATTAACATATAACTCTCTCATAACAGTTGTTGTTGATATTATTTGAAGATTAAGATATGGTCTATTAGTATAGCTTTGGTATCTGATATAAAAACGATCATATCCATTTCCAATTATTACTGCTGGTGTGTTATAAACATAAATATTATTATTAATTCCACTCACAGGAATAGAACTTCGTTTAAATATACCAACAAACCCTTCTTTAATATTTCTCAAATAAATAGAGAAATGTTTATCAGGTTGAGAAGGGTACATCCATACAGTTTGAATTTCAGTTCCTAAAACAAAATCAACAGCTTTTTCAGCTTCATTACTCCCTGGATAAATTTTATAATAAGTTTTATTTTCTCCACAACATCCTGAATTAAACTGAAACCAATCAATCTTATTATCATAATACTGTGTGAAACCAATAAACTTTCCACAATTGGTAGATATTCCCCATCGAATTTCATTATCATTGCTAACATACCAACAACTTCCATGAACAAAAGAAAGAATAATACTAATGAAAATAATAAAAAACGTCATGGCATTTAAGTGATTATTAAGAATTCCATTTCTTTGTTTATTTTTTCTTTCTAAAAAGTAATGAATTTTCTGGTTAAACTTTTCACCTTTCTTTTTATGAAAAAAAAAGACTATTAATACAATTCTCTTTTTCTCTTTCTTTATTTTAAAAAGAGAAAACAAAATAATAAAATTGGAATTATTCTATTAAAGAAATAACTAATGGATGATTAAATAATTCCTCAAATGTCATTCGTTCTTGTTCTTTAAATTCTAACATTCTTTTAATCAGCTCTATTTTTGAATGAAATTGTTCATTTGAAAGAATAGATTTAGGAAATGAAAGTGTTTTATTTGTTGAGTATGAAGCTTTTACTTCATCTGCAGTTTGTCCAAATGGAAGTTTATTTGTAAGAATCCTATAGAAACAAACTCCCAATGGATAGATGTCATGATTAATTGACAGTGGTAATCTATGACTTGAATTAAAGTCTTTTGATTTACCTCTAATTAAAATAGATTCATTAGAAAATGAACGACAATTTCCAAAATCAGATAATACAAGTCTTGGTTTTGTAACAGAACAATCAACCATAAAATTTTCTGGTTTAATATCACCATGGATAAACTCTTTTTGAGTTTGAAGATATTTTATGGAAATAATCATTTCATTAATGAAATGATTCATTTCCTCATTTGAGAGACTTTGTTTTAATTGTTTTCTTTTGTTTAAGTATTGATCAAAATTATCATTTTCATAATAATCAAGTAATAAATATAATGACTTTTGTGCCTTCTGTTTGAGGTGTTGAAGCTGAGAAGAAATAGAATACCAAGATGATGCAATTCCATAACATTTAATAATACGTTGATTATTACATTGTTTTAATACAATAAATTCTTTTTCAATTTCAACTTTCTTTGAACAGTCTGTTTGTTTTAAAGCATAAAATTTTCCATTGTATCTTATTTTTATAATAGTCCCATAAGCTCCATTTCCAACAATATTTAATGGAATGCATTTTCTTAAATCAAATGAATCAAATTGATTTTCTTGTAATGCTTGCTGAATAATTTTTAATTGTTTTATTTCTCTTAATTGTTTTATCTTAATAAAATTAATGATGTCAGTAAACTGTGTTGATTTAAATATTTTAATAATATCAATAACACTTTCTTGTATTTTTCTTTCATTTAAAATACCATTTAAAAAACTAATAGGAGTTACTTTAAACGTTGGCCTAAAATCATTTGCTTCTGAACAAACAAAAATCTCATTTAGTTCAAGATTAACTTTTAATTTCATTTGTTCTATATTATTACACATATTAATAAAACATGCTATATGACTACGTTCTTCATCTTCTTTTATTTGGACATTTTTTAAATATTCTTCACAACTTATTGATTGACAATTTTCACAAACAATCCAAATTTCCTTTGACCCATTAAAAATCCCACTAATAACATTTTTTACTGGAAGAAACCATCTGTAGAAATTCTCCCAATTTTTCATTTGACTCACTAAACAAACCATTTTATTTTGAATATCTTGTGAATACTTTTGAATATTATATCTTATAAGTACACTATCTCTTCCATCTGTTTTTGTTACCCAAACCAGTTGACATGAAATGGTATGGTCTTCATTAGAATAGAATAAATGAGGATCAACATAAGCAAATTGTTCAGTCAAGTTTAATTCAACATGTTGCATACCAAACCACAAAACAAGATTTAATCTTATTTAATCACATTTTATTTTTTATCTTAAAAAAAATTTAACAAAAAAACTTTTATTTTAACGAAGTTGATTAATTTGTATGGATCAATTAAACATAGAAGCAACAACTCTCTTTGGAATTGGTTTTTCTTCATCAGAAACAGCATCAAATAATGTAAAGTTACGTTCTAAGTTTTCATTTACTTTCATAATAGAAGCAATATTACCACAACGTGAACAATAATTTGGTGCGGACCACACTGTGACCAATTTATTTTCAAATTGATATTTATATCCTTCCATAACTAATTGGTGTGCACGAGCAATCAATTGTATATTGTTAATTTGACAAAAGTCATCAACTGGTTTCTTTCCAAAAAGATACCCAGCTCCTCTTGAACTTACTCTCATTCCTTTTTCATTCTCTTCAGGATCAGACCACATTAAGTCACAGAAAGATCCCTCATGTGGGACTTCTTCATTACGATCAATACAATATCTAATTTGATCTATTGTTCTTAATGTAGGTGAAAGTCCTCCATGGACACAATAAATAGAATTATCAATAACAGCAGCAACACTAAAATAATCAAATACATCCATGAAAATAGTCCAAGCAGCAGGATTGCCATACTTTTGAATGCACTCATCATAAAATCCATAGTCTTGAGTAATCATTCGTGTTTCGTGATTACCTCTCAACAAATGAATTCTATCTGGATATTTTACTTTATGTAATAATAAAAATGTAATAGTTTCTATTGAATATATTCCTCTATCAACATAATCCCCCATAAACAAATATTGAACATCTGGAATATTTCCTCCAATTTCGAAAAGTCGTAATAAGTCATAGAATTGACCATGAATATCTCCACATACTGTTACAGGTGTTTTAATTTCAAGAACATTTGACTCTAATGCCATAATTGCTTTTACTGTAAAACATAATTCTAATAAATCGTGTTCACTTAGAATATCACCACCTTTCACTTGTTCTATACACTTATCAATATCCATTCTTTTTTATTGCTCCTTTTATAAAGTTCTTTTTAAGTTCTTCTTTTTCACTTTTTGAATTTTTAGTGTTTTTTTAAAAAACGAAAAAACTAACAAATAGAATTTTGTCAAGAATAACAAAAATCAATCAATGTAATTTCACAATGGATATTCCATTCACAGCATTTTCTGTTTTATTCCAATCACCTAGTCTATACCTCTTTCCTATTGCACAAACTATGGCTGAATGGTCTTTTGTAACATCAATAGAATTAACACATCCCCCAACATTAACCTCACCCAGAAGTTCTAATGAAAGTGTTTCTGAGGATTTAAATGAAGTGGGCATGTTTATTTTCCACATTTTTACTATTCCTTCTACTCCTCCACTGAAGATAACATCACTATATTGAATAGCACATAATGCTGTGACTTGTTTATGTGCTGCTTCTAATATATATTTTGGTGTTTTCTTTGATACTATGTAAACTGACAATGTTCCATCAAAAGATCCAGCAATATATGTTGTTTCATTTAGTAAACTTACACATTCAATTTCATTATAAGCATTATAAATTAATTGAGACTCTTCTGCTACTTTAAAGATTCTTATAGATTTATCAGAAGAACCAGTAACACAACGCTCTTTAGATAATGCATCAATACAATTAATATTTGATCTATGTCCATACAATGTATCCATTAAACTAATATTTTCAATATTCCATACTTTAACACTTCTATCATAACTACAACTATATAATTCATATGTTCCATCTCTAAAAACACATGAAGTAACAATATCTTGGTGACCTTTAAGTGTTCCAAGTAACTGATATTAGAAGAGTCATAAATAAGGATATGATGATTTTTAGTTGTAGCTACAATATATTTATTATCATGACTAATTGCTAATGATAAAATTTCAGGTCTTATTTTTGTTTTATCAATACAAGGAACAGTAAGTTCTCCACAATATTGATTAGTAATTATATCATAAATCATTATTTTACCATTTAATGATGCTACATACACTTTATTTTGATCATTTTTATTTATTTTAACAGCTGTACATGCTTTATTTAAATGTCTTGTTGTTTTAGTTATAACTGTAGAACTTAAATGAAGATCATCTGAAAGTGATGTTTGTTTTTTGCTTTGATCAATTGATTCATTAAATAATGTTTCTAATACACTTTTAGGTTTTGTTTCTTCATCAGTAACTCCAACCATTAATCGTTCATGTTCTTTTTTAATATCTTCAATATGTTTTTGAGCCATAGTAAGTCGTTGTTTATCAGTGTCTTCATTACTATGATTATATTTAAACTCAGTTTGAATACGTTCAACTCTTTTTTGTGGTTTAGGTTTTTCAGTTGCCAATCGTTGTTTGAATGGTACAAGAAAAGGGTCACTCATGAATGTTCAAACTCTTGGTATTAACAGTTCGTTGCAAATAAACTATCGTTGTTTTTCATTATTTTTGTTATTTCTTTTTAAAAAACCCTAATTTTAATTTCTGTTATTTAAAACATAAATAAATTATCAACGTGGCGTTGTGTTGTAAAACAAAAAGAATGAAAATGCACCACGTCAGACTTTGAAATAAAAGATATGAAGATGATAGAAATATCATTTGATGGATAAAGAAACTGAAAAGAAGTGTGAATGCAATGGTGAACATTGTGGATGTGAAAGTGGACATTGTGGATGTAGTGATGAACATTGTGGGTGTGAAGGTGGACATGATGAAGAACCAATGGAAGAAGAAGTCAAAGAAAGTTTTCCAAAGACAGTTGAAGTAGAAGGAACTGGATATGAGAAACCAACTGATGATTGTTTGTGCACAGTTGATTATACAATGTTAGATGGTGATAGAGTTATTGAAGAGAAAAAAGACTTTAAATTTAAAGTTGGAGATATGCCAGTGATTTGTGAAGGATTTGAAAAAGGTATTGAGTCAATGAAATTAAATGAAAAGTGTACATTTACTCTTAAACCAGAAGATGCATTTGGAAGTTGTGGAGATAAAGAAAGAAGTATTGAGCCAAATAAAGAAATTACATTTAAAGTTACACTTAAAGGAATGGAACCTGTTCCAACACCATTTACAATTGCACCAGAAAATATAGTTAAACATGCAGAAGAAAAGAAGGCACAAGGAAATGAAATGGTCAAAAGAAAATTACAAAAGAGAGCATTAAGATGTTATTTAAGAGCACTTGATTATCTTGATAATGATTATAGAATTCCTGAAGATCAAAAAGAAGCAGCTAAGAAGATTCAAACAATATTATTT